TTTCGATAACAATTTTTGTGTTTTTTCTTATTTTAAGTTAGCAAACTCAAAAATAAGAATTCATGAGTTTGATATTGTTATTTCTGCAGTATTATCCTATATACTATTCTATTCTACGAAAAACATTTTTCTACAAGGCAGGATGTTAGACTTTTAATGCTCTAGCTTGAAAATATTAGACATTTGATATAGTTTATCCTTAATAAAAACTTTACCGCAATTTTAAAATTACATACTTTAATAAAAATTTCTAACAAGAATATTTTCTTTACCCTTGGAACCTTTTGTTTTTGTAAAGCAATGTTTTAAAACATTTTTTTTGTTATAACTCTTATTTCGTTATTGATGTTAAGGAGTTGAATCATATTGAAATATAATTCATTTTGTTAAACCAATATAAAAATTTACATTTTAATATATTTTATATGTACGAAAAATGAAATACAAGACGATATGATTGAACATCGCCTTTCAAATTATAAAAAATGTAATGTTTATTTATCATTCGTAATAACATATTTCTGTTATGAGATGAAATACATTATAACGTGTCACTGTTGAAAATTGCACATAATAACATATCGCTGTTATAAATTTATAATTCCTGATTACTATTATCAAAATTTAAAAAAAATCTACGCCTTATTCATTTTATATACAAAATAAAAAAAAGCATAGATTGCGTTTTAACTTTTTGATGGCAACTTTTGAATTGAAAATTTATTACATTTTGAAGTATACTCAAAGAACTTTCACTAAAAAATAAGAACGTTAATAAAATCTCGCCAAAAATAGTAATACATAAACGAAAATGTTTCAAGTATGTTGTTGTTTCTTATCTCACTTGGCTGGCCAAGCCCACGAGCCCATATGGACTCATGATTGAAGGGGAAGGAAGCAGCTTCTGTTGTGATGGAGCACCCGTAGGTAGAAGCCTGACTTTTGCTCCGTGACGCTCTTACAGTCATAGAAGACCGGGACCTACGGCTTAAAGTGGATTCCGAACCACTACAAACATCCATGGCACCGCCGGGATTCGAACCCGAAACCTGTGGCACCGAGCGCCAGAGCGCTAGACACTCGGCCATTCAGGTCCCAAATTTGCCAACGGCACGCGGTGTTCCCAGGTGGTCACCCACCCAAGTACTGACCGCGCCCAATGATGCTTAACTTCGGTGATCTAACGTCAAGTATGTTACAATAATAATAAATTATAACAAATTAAAAAAAAAAAATCAGATTATTATTGTGTAATAAAATTTAAACTAGTTTTAAGCAATATTTTAAAACAAATTTTAAAAATAAGTTTCTATGATTTTTTTTAATACTGTGTTAGTAATACTGTTATTATTAATTATCACTTATGTAATTGTTATAATTTTCATTCTAGAATATTATGATGACCACATTAAAAAATGTGTTACAATAGTGTAGTGTAATTACAATAGTAATAAGATATAACAAATTGTTTTTAAAAAAATTTGATTGTTATTTTTAAAGGGATTGTTGTTTAATTAAATTAAAACCAGTTTTAAGCAATATTTTGAAACAAATATTCAAAATAAGTTTCGACTATTTTTATTAATGCGATGTTAGTAATGCTAATATTAGGAATTATTATTTAAGTAATTTTTATTATTTTAATTCTAAAATATTTTAATAACCAAATTAAAAAAAACTTGCCTTTGACAAATATTAAAATATAAATTTATAATGATTTATAACATAAGGTTGGTTTCAATAGTACAAGGATTATATTTAATTTTAATAATATTTGAATTATTTTAAAAGTAATATCCAAAAAAGATGCTTTAAAGTTATTGTATACTTAGTTTTCTAAAGAGAATTTTCACGTAATACTGATTAATACTGATAAACACGATCAATATGAAGGTATAGGTATATGCAGTTACAATGTGTTTCAATAGTAATAGATTTTAACAAATTGTTTTTTTTTTTAACGTTTGATTATTATTTTAATAGGGACTGGTGTTTAATAAAATAAAAACCAGTTTTAAGCAATATTTTGAAATAAATATTCATAATAAGTTTCGATGATTTTTATCAATATTGTGTTAGTTATGCTAATATTATTAATTATTATTTATGTAATTGTTATCATTTTCCTTCTAGACTATTATAATGACCAAATTAAAGAACAACAACTTTGTGCTACAATAGTTACAATGTGTTATAATAGTAATAAATTATAACAAATTATTTTTTTTTTTAATATTTGATTTGATTTTGATTTATTTTTAAAGGGATTGTTGTTGTTTATTAAAATTAAAATCAGTTTTAAGCAATATTTTGAAACAAATTTTCAAAATAAGTTTCGATGATTTTTTATTAATGTTGTGTTAGTACTGCTAATATTATCAATTATTATTTGAGTAATTGTTATCATTTTCATTCTAAAATATTTTAATGATCAAATAAAAAAAAACTTGCTTTTGACAAATATTAATACACATATTTATAATGATCTATAACATAAGGTTGGTTTGAATAGTATCAGGATTATATTTAATTTTAATAATATTTGAATTATTTTAAAACTAACATTCAAAAAAAGTGCTTTAAAGATATATTTAGTTTTCTAAAGAGAATTCTCACATAATACTGATTAATTTATTGTTAAGCAGAAATTCTATACAGATTTAGCATTCACTGCAATATGTCTCTTGATAATTCAGGACAAGTTCTCAATTTAAAGAACACTGAAAAGGTTAAACTAAATAAATACGATCAATAGGAAGGTAAAGGCGCTCGAAAAAACTCATTCAGAAAATACAAATGCCATATAAATATTTTATGTGTCAAGAATGTCCATTTCAATAAGAATACTTTGAAAAGATGAGAAATTCAAAAAGAAATGCGCAACACAATTCTTCTGAGTAAATGGAGATTTACATAAAATATTTGACATACTTTGGAAATAAACATTTCCTTGGATAAGCTGTTCCCATTTTAACTTCAGAACAAAAGTTTCCCATTTCTTAGAATATTCTAGTTATGCTGTTTGTTAATAAATATTCGAATAAAGCATACAATAGTTTAAGAAAGATAGTTTAAATCGAAACGTAATTTAAAATTTATGAGAATTATGAAGCAATATTTATATATGTTGGAATAATATGTTAGCATAAAATGCTCTAAGCAGTTTATTTATCTATTCATAATTCTATTGTTGAAGGTTTTCCTTATTCCAATAATGTCTATGCGATGCCAATTTTTCAGTTAAATTGAGTGCTTTATGAAAAAGTACTGAATATGAAAATAGCTTAAAATAACAACTGCTTTAATACCATAAGGGTTATTTCTGAAGTTCTCAATGTTCATATTGCTAGCGGTGTAACGTCTCGGCCTATACTAGACCTATAATGGCTCCAAGATGAGTGCACTTATGCCACTTATAATCTGTATATATATATATCTTATATATACACTCAAGAGCCAAAACATTATGACCACCTGTCAATAACGAGTTAGCCCACCTTTGGCGCGCAACACAGCTTCAACCCGCCTTGGCATGGATTAATACCACCACTTAATACCAATTAAATACCACTTCTACCTGATCACGTGCCTTCCACGTCGTCCAGGCGAGTTCATTGCAAAATGTAGGGGTGGTCATAATGTTTTGGCTCTAGAGTATATATATATATATATAAATATAATATATATATATATAAATATAATATATATATATATAAATATAATATATATATATATATATAAATATAATATATATATATATAATATATATATATATATATATATATATAAATATAATATATATATAATAAATATATATACATATAATATATAAAGTGAAATTTAAAGATATGAATTAGATACATAAGTGCAGTTAACTCCCCAAGAGCGGAGTTCTTGAGTCTACGACGAATCTATTTCATCTGCTGCAGACCTTAATTATCACACGGAGGGATATACGAAACTACAAAGGGCTCTCTTTGTAAACAGGCGGAAACTCCGGCCTGTTCAGTCACATTCAGAAAATTAGAAAAAGAGAAAAACAACACTTGTCGGCTCGTCGCAGTACTCTCCTTCTCTCAAAACCTCCGTCAAGGGGAAATCCGTCAAGGAGCGTGAGTCAGCTTCTCTCCCTTCTCAATAGAGTCGACACTTCCTCAACATAGTCTATCATCAATCCTAATGCAACATCTCGTGCATCATCTAATGCAACATCTAATGCAACATCTCGTGTCCGTTAATGAGGTCTCATTATCCATGACACTCATTTCGCAATCAGATTTGAGTGATTGTTTTTATTAATAGAAAACGCTAATTGCATGTAACATAAATATCCACGATACTGCTTGTCTGCTGCCAGATTAGACTGATAGGTTGTTATTATGCACTTATTAAAGAATATACATTCCTTTCTCTTGGGAACAAAAATGCTATATCTCTTCCAGTGGAAAAAATAAAGCCAGAAAGACCCGGTCTTTCTGGCTTCTGGATACGGAAAACAAAACATTTTTAGTTTCTACAAACATGAAAAAGAAATGAAATTTTAAAATTTTGAATTACTAGTTTTTTAATTAAAGAAATATACTGGTAAACATCATGATAATTATAATTTGCTTGTAATTTTTAATGTGAATTCAGCAGCCGCATACGAATATCAATTTCAATCGCTAATCCAAAAAATTTTATAACGGAAAACATGATTGAAATAATATTAAATAAGAAGAATACAGTATGTAACTTAATAGTAATTTTAAATTTTCTAATAATTCCCTTCTGATTAAGGTTTTATTATTTTTTTTTTGCCTTTTCAGCCCCACTCCCCATAAAAAGTCTCGCTAACTTTAATAAATTTGTAATCTGGGATGTCCTAGAGCTTGGTGGATTCACAAACTTTCATTTCTGCATAAAGTATTGTTTTTTACACTTTTATGATTTAGTAAATTTTGACTTATGGTAATAGTTGAAAGTACTTTTCCTTTATCATTATGCTTTTTAAGAAAATTTGATCTCGTTAGATCACCGAAGTTAAGCATCATTGGGCGCGGTCAGTACTTGGGTGGGTGACCACCTGGGAACACTGCGTGCCGTTGGCAAATTTGGGACCTGAATGGCCGAGTGTCTAGCGCTCTGGCGCTCGGTGCCACAGGTTTCGGGTTCGAATCCCGGCGGTGCCATGGATGTTTGTAGTGGTTCGGAATCCACTTTAAGCCGTAGGTCCCGATCTTCTATGACTGTACGAGCGTCACGGAGCAAAAGTCAGGCCTACCTACGGGTGCTCCATCACAACAGAAGCTGCTTCCTTCCCCTTCAATCATGAGTCCATATGGGCTTGTGGGCTTGGCCAGCCAAGTGGGATAAGAAACAACAACAACAAACAAGAAAATTTGAAAATAACCTTCAGTAAAATCTATGAGCAACATAAAAAAAGATCGCTTGCCTTCCTTGACGCAAAGAAGCTGATTAAAAAAATTTTTTTTTGTGGTATTCAGTTTATTTATTTATTTTAATAAATAAATAATAGTCATTTTTCTATTCAAAAATAAGAATTTAAAAATAGTTCAAAGTTTCATAGCTTCCAGTCTTAAAAAAGAAGGATAAATTGCAATTTTTGTAGACGATAACTTACCTCCCACTCTTTAATATTAAAAAATTGTTACGGATAAAAAAAGAATGGTAAAGCTATAAAAGATTAGGAATAATAATGATGGAATAAACTATTAAATTATTCTTTAAAAATTAGTTTACTTTTCAGTTGAAGTATTTTTCAATGCAGAAACATAACGGTTGATTAATTATTCAGCTTAATTAACAATTTATTTGAATTTGCTTTGCCATTATAAAAGTAAATTTTTCTCTATATATGTATGAGTGGAGCCATTGTTTGTTATATAAATTTGGTATTATAACAAAAAGAAATTATGTAAGTAATAATTCTTGGAACCTAATTGTTTAGTCAAAAAAGGAAAGGAAAACTTTTTGTGGAGGAAAAAAGAAAATTGAATTATATATTGTATACTATATTGAATTTATCTGTTAAAGAATAAATAATATAAAGGAAGATTTATTATAATCAGTAAGAAATAGTTAATGGCATATTGTTATTAGTTAATGGCCATTATGTTTGCTTAGTCACAATAGTACTTTAATAGAATTTATAATGATTCTAAGAAAATTAAATGATGTTAACAAAAGACTTGATTTTATCATAAGGGAAGACATTACTGATGTTTAAAAAACTATAAGTGTTAGTTCAACAGAATTACTGGAGTAAAATAAAAATAAATTGCTAAGATTTTTCATAAATTGTTTATGATCATTTTGTCAAGAAAAAAAAAAGATTAAGATGTCATCCCTGAAGAAAGAAAAACTATTAAAAAAGTACCCGAGACTATTTTGTATAATTAAGAATATTTATTTTTATTTTTAGTACATGGTTTAAACTGAATTTCAAAACTTAATAAATTCGAATTGATTCTATTTTGTTCTTATAAATACAATGGCATAAATCATGGACAAGAATATGCCATTTAATGCAATTCGAATACATTTTTATAAATACATTGGCATAAATCATGGAAGGTCACTGGATAAGAATCTGCAATTTAATGCAAATTGGAATATGTTTTTATAAATATAAGGGCATAAATATGAACAAGATCAGTGGACAAGAATCGTCCATTTAATGCAATTTGAATGCATTTTTAGAAATACAATGGCATAAATCATGGACAATATCACTGGACAAGAATATGCCATTTAATGCAATTTGAATACATTTTTATAAATACAATGGCATAAATCATGGAAGATCACTGGATAAGAATCTGCAATTTAATGCAAATTGGAATACGTTTTTATAAATACAAGGGCATAAATGATGAACAAGATCACTGGACAATAATCTGCCATTTAATGCAATTTGAATGCATTTTTAGAAATACAATGGCATAAATCATGGACAATATCACTGGACAAGAATATGCCATTTAATGTAATTCGAATACATTTTTATAAATACAATGGCATAAATCATGGAAGATCACTGGATAAGAATCTGCAATTTAATGCAAATTGGAATACGTTTTTATAAATACAAGGGCATAAATGATGAACAAGATCACTGGACAATAATCTGCCATTTAATGCAATTTGAATGCATTTTTAGAAATACAATGGCATAAATCATGGACAATATCACTGGACAAGAATATGCCATTTAATGCAATTCGAATACATTTTTATAAATACAATGGCATAAATCATGGAAGATCACTGGATAAGAATCTGCAATTTAATGCAAATTGGAATACGTTTTTATAAATACAAGGGCATAAATGATGAACAAGATCACTGGACAATAATCTGCCATTTAATGCAATTTGAATGCATTTTTAGAAATACAATGGCATAAATCATGGACAATATCACTGGACAAGAATATGCCATTTAATGTAATTCGAATACATTTTTATAAATACAATGGCATAAATCATGGAAGATCACTTTATATAAGAATCTGCAATTTAATGCAAATTGGAATACGTTTTTATAAATACAAGGGCATAAATGATGGACAAGATCACTGGACATTTAATGCTGAATGCATTTTTAATGCAATGGCATAAATCATGAATGCATTTTTAGAAATACAATGGCATAAATCATGGAAGATCACTGGATAAGAATCTGCAATTTAATGCAAATTGGAATACGTTTTTATAAATACAAGGGCATAAATGATGAACAAGATCACTGGACAATAATCTGCCATTTAATGCAATTCGAATGCATTTTTATAAATACAATGGCATAAATCATGGAAGATCACTGGATAAGAATCTGCAATTTAATGCAAATTGGAATACGTTTTTATAAATACAAGGGCATAAATGATGGACATGATCACTGGACAATAATCTGCCATTTAATGCAATTTGAATGTATTTTTTATAAATACAATGGCATAAATCACGGAAGATCATTGCATAAGAATCTGCAATTTATGCAATTGGAATTTTGTTTTTATAAATAGAATGGCATAAATGATGAAAGTTACAATTGCTTTTTATTTATCTCTTACAATATTCTTGTAGCTTTCGTTGTTTCTGAATTATTTCGATTGAAGAAATTATGTATTAAAATCTATTGTGATGAAAAATAACTTTCTATCAAATTAATTTGTATCTTCTATAGCTGATAAATAGCCAGAGGAAGTTTGTTGCAGAAAAATTGCAACGCTATACACTCAAGAGCCAAAACATGACCACCCCTACATTTTGCAATGAACTCGCCTGAATGACGTGGAAGGCACGTGATCAGGTGGAAGTGGTATTTAACTGGTATTAAATGGTGGTATTAATCCATGCCAAGCCGGGTTGAAGCTGTGTTGCGCGCCAAAGGTGGGCCAACACGTTATTAACAGGTGGTCATAATGTTTTGGCTCTTGTGTGTATATTGTTTAAAATGGTAAAGTATACACAGTTCATCAGATTCAGCCCATAATGGTCCGAATTTAGTGATAAAATTAATTGTAGAATAGCTAAAAGGAACTTTATATGTTTTAATCTACTTAAAGTGTCTTTAATCTATCTACTTATATCCTAAACTTAACCTTAGATGCCTTTGTCACAATCACCATTGATTCTCTTGGTTTTTGAAAGCAGTAACTGCAATGGACACTGTTAGCAGATTTGAAGATAGAACTACCTGCACACTTTATTACTGGACAAGAATCTGCAATTTAATGCAATTCGAAAATATTTTTATAAATGTAATGCCCTAAATTCCCTTAGCAGTTACAATTGCTTTTTATTTGTTTAAACAATCTTATAACTTTCATTGTTTCGGAATTATTTTGATTGATTTGATTTGGTTTGTTTCTCTACGGCCATTTTTTGCACACTTTAGGCTAATTAAACCGGGACCTACAGTTTAGCAGGGATTCCGAACATCCATGCCACAGCCAGGATTCAAACCTGATATTTTGAGTGAAGATGTTATATATTAAAATTTATTGTGATGGAAAATAAAATTTCTATTCAATTAATTTGTATTTTCTATAGCTGATAAACAGCCAGATGAAGTTTTTTTCAGGAAAATCGCAACACTATACATCGTTTAAAATTGTAAAGTATAGACAATTCATCTGATTGAGCTCAGAATGGTCCTAATTCAGCACGAAAATTAATTGGAGAGATTAATTAAAAGGAACTTTATATTTAATTTTATTCCTACAATAATCATATATTCTGGATTTTTCGTGTAAATCATTTTGCCCTATCCGTGCTGATAAATGATCATTTTACCTTTTATCATTAATTTCTCTCCTCTCGTATTTTTTTAAAAAAGAATCTTTGGAATAATCAGCACATCGTGTTTCGTGAGAGAGGTCTATTTAGATAAAATCATTACCTTTCTCATCATTTTTTACTCTGTAAATTTGCAGAATAATGTAACATAGAATAAAAGGATTAACATTTAAGCCAAGTTATTAATCGTCGTCTGAAAAAATGCTAATGAAGGCATTCAGAATTTTCCTACATTGTAAAAAAATAATACGAAATTCATTATGTTTCCAAAAATTTTTTTTTCTTGCATTAGTATAAGACTTTACATAGTATTTTAACAATTTTTATTTCAAAAGCCGAAGTATTTTAACATATTTTTAATTAGTATGTTATGTACTTAATACTTTCCATTAACTAAGTTACATTTTTAGCTACCAAATTTTAGTTGGTTACATTATATAACTAAAACTATTTTCTACGAAACTAAAATAAAAAGAAATTATTTTGTGGAAGTTTTCTTGAGAAATATTCATATTTTTTCATAAAAAAGGAAAATATACAATCTGAAGTTTAAGCCAACATATTTTACTACAAAAATATATATAAAAAATTAAAAATTCGATGAAGTATGCGTGTCCATGTCCTTTTAAATTATTAATGTCAAGATTTAAACCTTTGGCATTATGTGATTCAGCTTCAATGGTAGTTTTTACTGTAAAATCATTAGTGCCATGGTTAAGCCTATTGATTTTTAATGCCTACTACTTTGAAATATTCGTTACTAGTATTGCAAAGATGTAGG